TTTGTTTGTTTGTTTGTTTGTTTGATATATTATAGCTAAGGTGTAAAAACAATGATGACGAAAATAAAATCGATAGGGCCTGCACCAGACTATATATTTTCTACATCAGTTATTAGCATTTCAAAGCCGTGAACTCGTGCCCGCCATATTGAAATATTCGAAGCACTGGAAGATCGTGCGATTGAAAATTCGGTCCTGGCGCACAAGAAAGCATGCGCCAATTAAATTGATGCGTACCAAAGCGTGAGCGCAGTACCTTAAACCATAATCTAGTCAAAAGATAGATTTTTTTTAATTTTTCAAATGGGACCAAACATTTTTTAAAGTAACCGACAAACTATTATTATAGAAGTAAACTATTATCAAATAAACATGCTAAAAGATTAAACTGTTATGGATAGGATTTGCTCGTAACTGGTTTGGTTATATTTTATTTAATTGTGAATAATATGTACTTATTGACTGAGTACATGGGAGGGCGGAACTAAAAAATATTTGGCTCAAGTTGTACCGTACAAATGACAAAGAACCAAATATTTTACCGTACGGCCCGACCTAACTCAGTCAATTAGCATTTTATCATATGACCCTCACGAAAAGAAAAATAAAACGGTCGCAGGTTTCGAGCAGGGCCGTATGGATTCGCCGCTCAAAGCCGTACGGCCCTGCTCACGCCRTTTTCCCGAAGGTTTTATCAAGAGCGTGCGCCCGGGCAGATACGGGTCATATGATAAACTACAATATCCTATAATACAATGCAATACCCTTTAATGTACTATCAATACCCCGTAATACACTGCAATACCCTGTAATAACCTACAATACCTTGTAATACACTGTATTACCATGGTATACACTACAATACCCTGTATACACGTCATACACTTCAATACCCTGTACCACCCTACAATACCCTGTAATACACTGCAATACCCTGTAATGCACTACAATACAATGTAATGCACTACAATACATTGTAATACATGCACTACAATACAATGTAATGCACTATCAACACCACGTAATACACTACAATACCCTGTAATACACTACAATA